AAGCCACAGCCCAGAAAAGTGGCTGCGGGTCAGGAGCACAGCCAGACCCAAGCGGGACCATGAGCTGCCACCCGGAGGCCCCGCCCAGTCCTGTCTGGCAGACACGTGGCTACTCCTTGAACCATCAAGACAGAAAAGTGAGACCCGAGAACACGGTCCATGAGGGGGAGTGAGTGTGTGGGAGCTGCCACCAGCTCGCCGTCCCGCCCGGGTGCCCAGCAGGTGCCTCCCACCTGTGGCTGGTTCGGCTTCACCTTTTGTGAGGTCCCTGACCCCCCAGAGCAGAGAAGGTGGGCCCCCAAGTCCAGCCTGGCACAGGCGGAGAGGGTAGGGGGTAGGAGCCCGAGGGCCCCCACTGTCGCCCTCCTCGCCTCAGGCAGGGCACGGGGACAGCGGTCCCTGGTGGCAGAGCCCACACCGCGTGGCTGAGACGTGTCTTAAGGGAGAAACCCGTGGAAGCTGAACTAACTAGTACCTCTCAGAGGCAGTGTCCTGGGGCCACCGTGGGGGGCAGGCAGGCACTAGCCCAGGGCCCTGCCCGCAGGGCACACCCACCCTCCTCAGGCAGCCTGGCCCCCAGCCCGGCATGCGGATGGCATTGCTCCGCTGGAGACAAGAGCCCCGCTGGGGCCACCAGCACCTGCGCTCGTGGGCAAGGAGCCCATTGCAGGGCCAGCCCTGGGCGTCTCCCCTCAGGCTCCCTTCCTGCGGCCCCAACACCAGGAGCTGACAGACCGGAGCCCCAGGAGGTGGGACCCGCCCACCCCGTCAAAGCGAGGAGCTGGGAGGGCACACTGTCTGCTCGGCGACCGAGAAGGCACAGGGACAGGCAGCCTGGCACTGGGAGGAGGCGTGTCCCCGAGGCAGGGCCACCGGGCAGGCAGGCCTGAATGTTCTGGAAGTTCTGGGAAGTCCCAGGCTCAGGACCACAGGGAAAGCTGAGCAAGTTCAAGCCCAGAAAAGCCAGCTGGTCAGGGCAGGAGCGGGCAGGCCAGGGACATGTCCGTCCTCTGTCTCCCCGACTTCCTGCCTCGCCCTCGTGGGACAGAGTGCACCTGGTCGCCTGTCATTCACGCGGCGGCGGTCAGCAAAGGCCTGAGCAGACACCCCGTCCACGGAGCCCACTGCGGGCAGGGGAGGAGGCGGAGCAGCGGCTGCAGTGGGGGGGCCGTGCCGCTGTTTGGGGCTCGACCCAGCCAGGGTGCCCCGGCCTCCAGGGTCACTGGCTCCCCTGCCCTCCTGTGAGGCCGGAGCGAGTGCTCCCTCCCAGGCTGCCGGGAGGATGTGCTGATGGCTTCTACACAGAGAGCGTCCTGACGGGGTAACGACACGTTCCTACAGGCTGACTGCGCTGGTCTGCTGGGCACGGGCATGTGGTCTGGGGCTCCCGGGGGTAGGTCACACCGGCCCTTAGTCCATCTCAGGGTCCAAGACCCCGAAACCAGACCCCGTGCGAGGACTCGGGGCCTAGGATCTGCCTCCGGAAGGATCTGAGGTCACGGGCACTGCAGCGCCTTTAAGATCCTAACAACTTGAATGTGAGCAGAGAAAAAGCCCTGTTCACGAAGCACCTACTGTGTGCCCATCAGCCCACGAGGCATCGAGGAAGGAGGCGACCCTAGCTACTCCCACGGGGTAAGTGTAGAGCCTGGGACCCCGGGGCTCAGCCCTTTTGCTCACGGTCAGGAAGCTGCTAGAGGCAGAGCCTGGATCTGAACCCCCTCCCCCCCAGGCGGAAGGCTCACCCCACAAAGCAAGAGGGGAAGCGACCAGGAAACCCGGGGGGCGGGGTGACCGCCCACTTGGCTGGGGAACCCCAACCCCGCCCTCCCCAGAGGCCCAGGCTGCGGAGAAACCACCGCGTCCATGAGGGTTTATTTAAGGAGGGAAGCATCCAGCCTCCTCCCAACTGTCAGCAGCTCAGACTCAGCCCTGGAGGCCTCATCCCCAACCTGTCACATCCTCCTCCGGCGCACGCACACTCCTTGCCACACACTCCCTCCCGCC